CTTCTTCGTCGATCAATTGAATCGCAATGGGACACGACCACAGTGGATAACGTATCAGGAAATTGTCACGTGTAAGTGCAACTTCGTTCGTGAGTATCTGCAGATCTTATGACGCAATAATAATAATTGACCCGTTATAATTGGCAAAAGCTTAATTACGTTGCTCATAACTGACGAGACTTTTGTACGTGGAATCTTCGTGGTATCGCAACATACCAAACGAAATAACAATGCTTCTGTCTTAATTACCGTGATTACTACTTATATTATAAATGTAAAGGGTGGTGGATCGGGGGACATTCGCGCGCGTGGCCCAATTACATCGTCCGTTCGCGTATTTATCAGTTTGTTTGATCCGACGTTTATTTAACTGACAATGGTTGTTGGACGGCCGAGCACTTGGCCGCGCCACCTTTTCAGCCACCAATCAATGGGAATCTTTAGCGTTTGCTCGGGCATTAACTAGTAGACAAGCACAACGAGCAGATGCGATGTTAACTTACGTAATTTCTAAATGAACGACCAACGAACGTGGCCACTCAGTCACGAGCAACAAAATGGCACGGGACTTTCCCTAAAAAAATAATTGAACTTTCCTTTGTCTCTTTTCCTACGTATTTCTCTCTCTATCTCAATTATTTCTTTTCTTATTAAGTTTCGTTTTCTTACACGCTTCTCTCTTCACTTCTTGGTATCGTCTCTTTCTCTTTCTCCCCCCTCCGTGTGCCAATTCTTCCTTCTAGCGTTTCTGAATGAATTACACATCCGTCTCGCAGCGAAAAGTAAAGTACCAACTCGCAGACACACCGTCCTTTATTTCGACAACGTCCGAAATAAAAACATTGACGCAATGGGGTTCTCGCGAAACTGGCGACGAAAGTGAACCAGCAGTTGAGCAAAATTAACGCTACAACCATCGACAATCGAAATGAAACGAAACGTGCCAAAAAGAAAAGTAAACTGCAACCCATTTATTTTACAAAAAGAAAACAAAAAATCATTCTTTCGAAATCTGATTTGACTCTAGCAGCTCCAATGTTAAATGGAATAATCGAATCGAACATTCTACGTTTCGCGTAGATCACGTCATTTCGATATATATATATATATATATATATATATATATATATATATGCATGCATGCATGTATGTATATATATATATATGCATGCATATATGTATGTATATATATGTACGTACGTATATGTATGTATATATATATATATATGCATGCATGTATGTATGTATATATATACGTATGTATGTTCGTACGTATATGTATGTATGTATATATGTATGTATATGGGTCTCGAATCGTAAATATTCATGTAGTATGCGTTACTATTATGCGTGTACTTTACACTATGCGTACAATAATTCGTAAAAATACAAATCGTATGATAGAAATTTTGCAATACCTTATACAAATTTCCCCCATTCATGATAGTTGAGTAACTGAGTAATTTCAGTCACGTGCATTATAAAGGTGCATTTGTAAAAGACGTTTATATCGACTATAAATAATAAAATGTTTAATAATATTGTATAAATCTAATTACGATCATCGTTTTCATCTATTCGCAATGTTACGGTGACATATACGTTAACAAATATATATGCTTTATATTCACTGTGTATTGCAACGAACCTTAAATTTGGGTCTTGATCGTAACTACATGTGCGCATGCGCGCACGAGATATACGTAATTTTCTACTTTCTTTATTGCGATCATTATTTTCTTATCTTCGAACACGATTTCACATTTTATTCTTTACTCTTTGCACAATCGAATATTCGCCAAGAAGATTGTATCAACAACACAAAATTTAAAAAAAGATAAACACATGTGTATTCGTTCTGTCACTAATGAGTTATAGCTATATTCGTAATACTCAGATTCATTTTAACGATTACGATATCACTGTGATAATGTTGAAATATATAATTCCAGTTACAATTGTAATGTAATTTCAAATAGCTCATTTAAAATTCAGAGTTACTTTCTGATCAAGTCCTTTGAAAGATAATTAATCACAAACTTTCGTATATAATTTGTCGAACGTGTAAGAAAACAACAAAAAGCGTGTACAAGCGATTACATTCGGGATGTTCAAATGCGCTGGTCGGTACTAAAATGGGAGGTCATCGGCAGATCCTCGGTAAAAAAACCTGTTGCTTCGCTTACGTTGTCAGAAAGTTTAAATCTTTATCGTTAAACTTATAGGAGAAGTGCCAATAGGAAGCTGGAACTTCGGCCAAGTTTACAAATAACGTAACAGACCGGCGATAAGTCGGCCTTGTTTAATACTACGATCGTACGAAGATGAAAGAAAAGTTTCGACGATATCGTTTCGCATCGCGGAATTTAAAATCTCAACCGTCATGCTCATTCGCGTTGAAATTTTTTTCAAACGCACGTTTTTTATCCACCGTCGAAGCGTTCCCGGCATCCGAAATTACACACGGTAGCCGAACACGTATGTAAATTTATCGAAAGTAACTTGCAAAATCTCGGCGAGATTTCATCGATATCTTTGAACACGGACGGAGTAATTGACGGAACGGCACACTTGCGATCGTCAGTCATCGTGTGCCGAAATCTTTCGCCATAAATCTTGATCGTTTGACCTTTCTACGCGAGAGCATGTGTTCGTTGTAAAATATGCACTTACCGAAAATCACTAATCCTTGATAAAGAACGACGAACACTGGGGAAATACGACAGAGACGACATAACCCGCGCACCAAACTAAACCGGCCATATTGTTTACTGGAACAGCATTTAATCGTGTGCCTGTGTGCCTGCTTTCACTGTTTTGCGGATCTCTCGTGAAAAACGATTGCAGCGCATTCTGACGTATATTAGCTTAAATTTGTTGACGTTTGATTCGGATTGGTAACATCGGTACCAGATTACGACGATCCGACCGTGAATCTAGTAGAATACGGTTTATATCGATACAAACTATTCGGGATAATTTTCTACAGACGGAGTAGAAGGAGTTCATAATTGAAAAGTGTAGTGACGATGTCCGATAAATTAGAAATTCACCGTACTACAAAAGGAACTAGGCAATTTGTTAATATTAATATTTTTTGTTTAATAACAATTATTTAGTAATATTGTAATTTAACAATAAAAATTAATACACTTTAAACTTTGGACTATACGCTATACAATATTCTATCTATCTTCTTATCTTCTTATGTTCTTATCCACCCTGCAACTCTTATTTATATGCTCGCAGACTTGTTGAATCTCTATAGCAATCACCTACAAACATCTTCATAGCAACACCGATCTTCATTTATTTTCCCGCTTTAGAGCCCGGCAAAACGGGCGCCAAAAATTTCACCCAAAATGGACTCTTCGATGATATTGCTGAGAAACAGATGTCGCTGGAGTAGCTGTTGCTACAAAAGGATCTAAATATTATTCGCTGTGTATTTATTACAGGTCGACATTCGGACATAGCGTATTTTTTCTCGATACAACTTTCAGAAACTGTCACGAATGTTACAATATCCATCATTATTAATTTATTATTAAGCGCATCTTGGCACAATTCATGTATACTGACGGAATCATCGAAGTTATGTGAGTTGTGAGAAATCATCTAGAATGAAATTGTCTCGTCAATTTTAAATTTTATATTACAGTCAAAGTTCATATTTTCTCTCAGAATGTTTTATAATCTTTTATTTAATCAGAATAACTTACTACTTTTATCAAGATAGTTATCAATAAGATATAAGATAGACTATTTCAAAAGATAGTTAGCTAAATAACGTACTATTTCAAAAGATAGTTAGCTAAATAAAATGAAAATATAAAATAAATCTTTTTAAGGAGATTTAATAAGTGTATTATTTTTTATTTCAGAAATATTTACTAGATATAAATCATGCCACGTAGAAATCGTCATAAGAAAACTCCTCTTATCGGAGAGGATACCAGAATTGCAGTAAATTTAACATTAAAGAAATTATTACAAACTCCTGATCAAAAAGAATTGGAATTTCCATCTTCGTATACTGCAGAAGAAAGAGCTTACATTCATAAATTAGCATATGAACTTGGATTAAAATCTAAAAGTAGAGGGTAAGTTGGAAGATAATAAAACTACTTTTCTTTCATTTCATGTGAAAGAGAATAAATTAAAATTTTTTTTTAACAGTAAAGGTGCAAATCGTTTTTTAACCGTGTACAAAAGAGAAGGATCAACTATAGTTCAAGCCGACGCTGTAATAAAATTACAAAAAGCATCAAAACAAAGTATCTCTAATCTGTTACAAGCTTTCCCAATTAATCATAAAGAATGTCAAGATTTATTACCACCAATTGAACGAGAACGGCCTCCTAATGCAGATGGTACTCTGATATATATATCTAATATGTACGTAATTAAATCACAAAATTGAGCTTGTAATCTATAATTTTTAGTTTCAGTGAATACAAATACAAAAGCAATGGGTAGATTAAACAACAGTGTGCCTCAAATACCGCAACTAAAAACTAATTTTGATATATTAAACTACCGCAAAGCTCTCCCAATTTTTAATTTTAGAGAAGATATTCTTGATGCATTAAATGTTAATCAAGTGATCATAATAGGAGGCGAGACAGGTAGTGGTAAAACAACTCAAGTTCCACAATTTATTCTTGAACAGTGCCAACAAAAACAACAAGCATGTAGAATTATTTGCACTCAGCCAAGAAGACTGTCAGCTATTTCAGTAGCTGAAAGAGTAGCATTTGAAAGAGATGAAAAAGTTGGTCAAACGTTTGGTTATCAGATAAGGCTTGAAAGTAGAGTTGCTCCAAAAACTCTTGTAACATATTGCACAAATGGTGTACTTCTTAGAACTCTTATGGCAAATGATTCGATTCTAAGTACTGTCACGCATGTTATTGTAGACGAAGTTCACGAACGTGATAGATTTTGCGACTTTCTTTTAATAGCATTAAAAGATGCATTGCAAAAACACAAATCTCTTAAGCTTATTCTTATGAGTGCCACGTTGGATGTAAGCATTTTTGTGAAATATTTTAACAAATGTGGAGTTATAAATGTTTTAGGCAGATCGTATGACGTCGACATATATTTTCTTGAAGACGTTTTAAAAATGACTGGTTACATGACGAAAGAAATGCTTGCAAAGAGGAAAGAATTTATAAATAAAAAAGATCAATATAAAGTTTTAGAAACTTGGACTCAATATAAACCTCAACAGTCAGGATCAAATACTATGAATGAAAGATGTATATTGCCTGCACCGATTTTAGCACAACAGAATGAACCAGTCCCTGAAAAAGTAAAATTAGAGCCATGGTTAGCTGAAGAAATGGATAAAAGTATCTCTGACGCGTGGTTACGCGGCGGCGAAGACAATTTCGCACAACTTTTATATTTCATACTTTCCGAAAATGTTTCGGTAGATTATCAACATTCCATAACATTTGTAACTCCGCTTATGGTCGCCGCAGGTAAAGGATGTATAAATACCACAGAACAACTTTTGAATTTAGGTGCAAATTTAAATTTGCGAGCAGCCAATGAATGGACTGCATTAGATTGGGCAAGAAATATGAATCAAACGGAATGTGCCGAGTTAATAGAAGCATATATGAAAACTTATGATTGTGCACTACAGGATGAAACCAAAGTACATGTTAAAGATATTTCACTTTCAGAGGAAGATAAATTTTTATTAGATGTGTATCAACATACGTTTAACGATGACAAAATTAATTATGACCTTCTTTTACAATTAATTTTGTATGTCCATTTAAAGATGCCGCCTGGTTCTCTTTTAATATTTTTGCCGGGGTATGATGATATTGTAACTATGAGAGAAAAGATAAATAACGAGGAGAAAGAAATGAATAAGGGTTTGCGCTATAATTTATATGTGCTTCATTCATATATGCAAATATGTGATCAAAAAAAAGTATTTAAACCAAGTCCTGTAGGATCTCGAAAAGTTATTCTTTCAACAAATATAGCCGAAACAAGTATTACAATTGATGATGTTGTATATGTTATTGATTCAGGAAAGGTTAAAGAAAAATCGTTCGATGCTTTATCGGGAGTATGCACACTTAAGTCTAATTGGATTTCTCAAGCTTGTGCAAAACAACGTAAAGGTAGAGCAGGTAGATGTAGGAAAGGCATTTGTTATCGGCTATTCTCGTCAATTCGATATAATAGTATGGAGACTTATCAAACTCCAGAAATCTTAAGATCACCACTGCAAGAATTATGTTTGTATACAAAACATTTAGCTCCTGGAAATACACCTATTGCAGAATTCTTAGATCGGGCACTGGAACCACCTTCCAATGTTATAACGAGAAATGCAGTTCAATTATTGAAAACTATTGATGCATTAGACCCATGGGAAGATCTTACTGAAATAGGAAGTCATTTGCTTGACTTACCAATTGAACCACGACTTGGGAAAATGTTATTGTACGCTGTTGTTTTGAAATGCTTAGATCCAGTCTTAACTATCGTATGTAGTTTGGCATACAAGTAAGTCAAAATTTCCATTATTTTAAACGCACGTAAAATAATTGAAATCATTATTATTTCGTATAATACTCTTCAGAGATCCTTTTATATTACCGCTACAACCATCACAAAAGAGAGCTGCAATCGCAGCACGTAAGAGATTTGCGACCAATACATATTCTGATCATATGGCAGTTTTACGTGCTTTTCAAGGTTGGCAGAATGCACGTGCAAGTGGTAAAGAACGCACATTTTGTGAACAAAATTTTATTTCGGCTGCTGTGATGGAGATGGTTGTTGGAATGCGTACACAACTTCTTGGTCAACTACGTGCATCTGGATTCATTAGAGCAAGAGGACCAGGAGACATTAGAGATCTAAATTCTAATTCTGAAAACTGGGCAGTAGTAAAAGCAGCTTTAACTGCTGGTTTATATCCAAATGTAATAAGAGTAGACAGAGAACATTTGCAATTAAGGACACAGTGTGTTATTTCTTTAATTTTCCCTATACTATACTTTTATATAATATAATATTTATTTACATTGTTAATAATTTATTTTGCAGAAAAGAAGTGAAAGTATTTTTCCATCCATCATCAACTTTAAGAGATTATCCCAAGTCACCAAGAATGACATTTACACAAGCATATGCAGCTAATGTGGAAGCTTTACCTTGTGATTGGTTACTTCATGAAGAAATGAGCCGTACAGGTCGATTTTGTCATGTTAGAATGGTTACATTGGTTAATCCATTAACAGTAGCATTGTTCTGTGGACCAGCAAGATTGTCTGTAGATGTAATCTATGAAGCTGAATGTATGTCTAACTATTCAACATAATCTATTTGATTATTATATTATAATATCTTGATTTTTTTAAATTTATAGCTGTACCAGAGAGTGAGTCGGATTCTGAGGTTGATGAAAGTAATGAAGGAACGATTTTTAAACTTGACGATTGGGTAGTATTTAAACTTGATCCAGAAACTGTTAGACTTTTTTTATATCTAAGACAAAAATGGAATGCTTTATTTTTGAGACGTATGAAAACGCCAAATAAAACAATGTCGCAACTTGACGAGAAAGTGGTCAGTGTCTTAGTTAGTGTTATTACAAATGAAGAACAGGCATGTGGATTACAACAACCATCTGGTATTGGCCAAAGACCGCGACCTTTGATTGTTGACTATTATCCTATCAATATTAGGAGAACAGACGACTTTGTAGAGGTAATTTTTTTAAATCAATTATTAAAAACTATATTGTAGCTATGTATTAATGTAAAATTTTCTCTTTTTAGAGGAATTTTTAAAATTGGTCGGAAGAAAATTTTATTAAGTATTATCTATAAGAGATATTTTATTTTCTTGGTTCCTATGTGTAATTTAATATGCAAGCATACAACGATATTCCTGTATTTACATAATTTTAATGACATTTGGATAAATTACTTCTGAAATAGAGTAAAAGAAATGAATTGCCAGTGATTGTAGGATAATTGCAGTTTCACTGAAATGTTTACTCAGTATTGATAAAATCAATAAATTTTGTTTTTCGTTAAAAGATTTAAAAACAATAAAATATCTCATTTAATTATACCATATATCTCTTATATGTATATCTTGCATTTATTTACTATTACACACTTCAAACTCTGGTTATTCAAACTCTGGTTATTCAAACTCTGGTTATTAAATCATATAATACATTTTCTTATAAAATGTATAAAAATTTTCAGTTATACAAATTGTATCACTGAAGAGTGAAACAGATAATTGAACATATAACTCTCATATATAGCTTATCAAATTTAGTTATGAGGCTGTTGTATTTCCGACATCGCTTTACATTTCTATTTTACTGCCTAAATAGTATAAAACGAACATGTAGGAATTAATGTAGACCTTTGTACCTTACAATGTGATATACTGTATAGATATTAATCTTAAGTAATTTATTTACATTTTATACTGTATATAAAGTACTTAATGTTATGATACAGAATGATTAGCACTTAAGACTAACACTAATTTGCAAACAAATAAATGATACAGAATGATTAGCTATGATACAGAATGATTAGCACTTAAGACTAACACTAATTTGCAAACAAATAAATGATATAAATTTAATCAAATAGAAAATGAAATACAATTTCATATGTTTAATGTTATTATAAATTTAATTTTTCAAAATATCCAAAACATTTAAATCATTTTGGTTATTTTAATTATTTCAAACACGAATATGTATTTTATAACATTTTTATTTGGAATTGACTGCTTGCAAGTGTTTATTATCAAGTATAAAGTTTATATTGAGATATTTTAGAAATAATAAACTACAAAACTGTTTATTTTGTACGTGATAATCTAACTTTTCAAGCTGATTGTAAAACAGTAGATAGCAATAAGATATATGTTAACATAATCGTTAGAATTATTGTAATACTTTTCAGTATAATAATAAAAATGTTATGTCATAATATATAATTCTTTATTTTTTATTTACCATATCTCACAAGTATAAAATTATTGCAATTAAAATATTAAAAATATTGCAGCGTTGTGCAATACTTCCTCATTTACATAATGTCTAGTCATGAAATAAATGATTTTAAATTCATGAGTATTCAAATTAAAATTACAATTTTTACTTGACGAAAATTGTTGTCAAACTTTATATTGTATTAGAAACTGGTATGACTTTATGTATATATCATGTAACCTTTTATAGTAATATTACATGACATATAAATAAATTAAGCATTTGTGTACTTTAAATATGTTATAATGTAAAAATATCGAGAATACTATGAAACATTTTCTTATGTCATTGTTTGTATTCACTTGCATTAGACTTTAATCAATCCATTATATATAATCAATCAGAATATATGGTTATGTACATCTATTTTTTTACGAAAAAGAATATCTTTTTTATAGTTTTTTTTTTAAATTTCAATGCAAAATAAATTAAAATATAACAATGTTGTACATTTTATGTAATTTTTATCGTATGTCAACTAATCATAAAGTTTTAACTAGATCTAAAGTATTATGTTCTAACCTTTTATTGTTTACGCGTTGCAAATCAGGTAAAATAATTAAAAATAGATTAATTTTTTGTGACATCGCTATATAATCGTAGCTTAATTATTTTACTCTAGGTAATAGCATGGTTGTCAGTATTGGTGAAGTTTCAAAAATAGTGAAGGTACCACAGAACCCTGAATATGTACCTAGAAAGTATTGTAAGTCAAATAATTATATTACTTCTTTTGTTCTTCAACTTAATATAACAATAACATTTATGGAAACAGTGTTAAATACATCTAATCAAAATGAGGATACATCAACGTTGAGACATTTAAAATGGATGCTCCAAAAGGATATCTTGTCTCAAGATATCTTTTTAATTGGAGGGCCGGGAACTAGACGTAGGAAATTAGCTCTTGCTTTCCTTGAGTTCACAGACCGTGAAGTAGAATTTATAGCACTTTCAAGGGACACAACAGAAGCAGATTTAAAACAACGCAGAGAAATAAAAAGTGGTACTGCCTATTATCATGATCAAAGTGCTGTAAGGGCTGCAACAAATGGAAGGATTCTCATTATTGAAGGTGTGGAGAAAGCTGAAAGAAATGTACTTCCTGTTTTGAATAATTTATTAGAAAATCGTGAGATGCATTTGGAGGATGGAAGATTTCTTATTCCCGCAGCACGTTATGATAAGTTACTGAAGGTATTGATATATTGTACATTAATTGATTTAGTAAAAATATTTACACAATTCATGATTTACTTTTTCAGACATACAGTCAAGAGGAATTAGATAGTTGGAGACTTGTTAGAGTTAACGAAGATTTTAGAGTTATTGCATTGGGCATGCCAGCACCAAGGTATCCTGGCCATCCACTTGATCCACCTCTCAGATCTAGATTTCAAGCCAGACATATCTCACCTCCAAGTTTTGAAGTGAGTATATTAACAATATATAATAACAAAATTAAATATCAATAGAACTTTTTAATTTGAGATTAAACTATAGTATGATAATTCATCATCTTATTAGAAAAATATAATAAACATATTGCATGATATATTATATGGCATGTGGAATTTTTGTATTAGTTCATTTATTCAAAAAGTTCATTGAAAATCATCATTGTTTGCCTTTTTATCTATACATGTATCTGTATATAGTACTTACTCGCTGAGAGAGAGAGAGAGAGAGAGAGAGAGAGAGAGAGAGAGAGAGATTTGCAAGTTCGTGAGTTATAAGTTTCATGTGACAACGCGCAGTAATTACTGGCGCGGCACGGAGGAGATCGTGGCGCGTGTAATTTGCTAAAGTTTTACGTGATTTATGTTGCGTTGTATCGTTCGGTATGGGGTGCGGAGGTCGCACAAACCCCTCCAGTCGGTCATCCCTTCCGGAGCCGGTTTCCTCCCTATATAAACTGTTCGTAGCTGCGCTATGGTCACAGTCATCGCAGTTTGGATCGCGTGTCGCGAGAACAGTGGAACCTTGTTTGTCCTCTTGTTCAACGGGGAGTCGATACGTTGGAATTCGGTCGAATCAGAAATTCAACATACGGTATTACTGATATATATACGAGGAATTATCAAGAACTAACATTCATACTTGAGAAACGCTGAGAGAAAATTATAAGAACAACGCACATGACAAATTAGGATATATATTTGTAAAAAAGAAACATTACATAGTTTGATGAATACGAGAAAAAAGAAATTTTTTTGCAACTTTCAATGTATATCTTCTTTGTACATTATTGTTGATTTGACAAGTTAATAAGTAAGTTAATAACCGATAGTTGAGCAATGCCAACGATATGGCCATCATCAGAAAGACCAATATCCGTTCGTACTGTCTGGGTGGACGGTATTCGACATGCGATCTTATCACCCGATGATCCATTGATCCATTCCAAATCACGTCGACGTACCCGTGTATCGAGAAATAAAGGCTACTCGACGGAGTATCAACAGTTGGAGTCGAGGCTGGATCGACTGAATAATTGTTTCACAAACTTGCAGATGGTAGTTAGCAACGATCTTTCAGATGCCAGAGAGACGTCTCAGATGTATCGTAAACTATCTGCGCCTTCTTGTTCCAGAGTATCGACTAGTACCTCTGATACTAGCGTCTCAGAATCTCTTTCAAACGACAATAAAAAGATGAGAAAGGAGTATCACTGCCACAAAGCGTTGAAAGAAGATTCAGATTTCCTTGCTGGCAAAGAGATTTTCAAGAATAATGTTTGTGAAAGAGGGACGTCAGACTCGGAGCCAGATTTTAAATTGAATGCAACAGAATGTAGACAGGCAGAGAGGACGTCCGACACTTTTTGGAATCCATTATTCGAAAGGGTCCTTCAATGGTTGGATTTGTCTGGAAGAACGCAAAGCTGCAAACACGATTTCGAAGATCGCTTTGCGGAAAGACCGTCAGACGAGGCGGAGCAAAAGTGGAGCGCTACCAAGGGAAGATTCCCTCGTTTGAAACGTGACTATTTCGAGCAGAGTGAACGAATGACGATGAGAAGCTGCAAATTACACAGAGAGCGGAACTCAGAACGCTTTAAGAGGGATGAAAGTAAAATAATGGAAAACCGATTGCCTAAGATAAAGAATACGAGGGAAGAGTTTCAAGAATCGAGCGGAACGTTAAACGGTGCAAAGACGTTTTCAAAAACTGAAGAGGAATCGAAAACTGAAATTAAAGAGAAAGCATCGTCGAATATATGGCGACCTCCTAGCCGACTGAAGTTACACGTAGTGATACCGAGCCTCGCTTATAAAGAGAATCGCGCGTCCTCTCAAGAATCGTTAATAGACGACTAAAAACATTTAATCAATCATATTAACGCGTATTAGCTGATCTCTCCAACATCTCATCAATGTCTTTTAAAAAATCTTAGGTCAATTTTCCCTGCAAGTCTATTTCTAAGAAATTTTATAAATCTGTATAGATCAATCAACTATTAGAGCATTTATCTTAAACGATCCAAAATTTCTAGTGTCTCTAGTGATAGAAATCTATCAAATTTAATACTTGCATCATCTAAAGGTAATTATTCATCATATGTACGTACTTATTTATTTCATATTATAAATACTAAATTTCGTTTTTTTTTTTTTTACAAAAATCTGCTCATTACTTTCATTCGTACAATTATAATATATTTTATCATATATTTTCAATATATTATCAATATATTGAATATTATCAATATATTATCAATATCATATATTATCAATATATTTATAATATATTTTATCATGTCGGTTGCACGCGGTATATTATACGATAATTAATCTCTGCATGTTTAATCTGTGAATCAGTATATACGCGTTATTCACGCAAATTTACGCACACCTTCATATCCATTTATATCTATTCCGATTCCTTGTTCATCCTTGTTCCTATTGAAATTCAATACGTTCTAATAAATCCAGTTTTATCGAGAGTCAATTCGACACCCATTATCCTGCGCGTGAAAGAGCAGCTGGAAATGGTGCCGGTGCGAGACGTCGCGACCGAATGAACCTTACACGCTTCAGCGTCATTTGTATCGTTTGCAAATTCAAACAAAGTAAATAATACTCGTGGCAAGGATCGCTTAAAAAGTCATATATAATCAAGGGGTATTTAACTACTTTAGGACGTTTCTCTCTAAGTCTCGAAACGACAGAGTTTCCGCTAGTACTTTCTAAAATTTCGTGTCACGCACTGCTCGATTTCACGAAGATTTACTTTGGTACATACTAATACGCTCTGAAAGCTGGCTCTGTCATTTCAAGCA